GTTTTGCTTCCCCTTGAGATGCTTCCGCATGTCATAGGCGTCCTCCCCATCCGCGTAATACTTAGCTTCGACATCGTGAATCTTGTAGCCTAATGTCTCTGTGTACAGATTGAATGCTGCTCGGTTACTTCTCCTCACATGCAGCGAAACATACTCTGCCTCGTAAACCTGCAACAAAACCATATGAGAATGATTTAAACAGTTCAAGTCCAAGCGGAAAAGCAAACTATCATTCACAGGTAATCAGAAATTCACTATTTCCATCAATCTAAACCTTCCAAAGCATGACAAAATCAGAGACAAATCTAACAAAGGTGAATTCTTTATATAGTCTGCAGAGCTTAAATTGCTTCAAATTCCAATCAAGAGAGAAGGGAAAAACACAATGCAAGAAGTGAAGAAGCAACTTTCACAAATTCAGTAACAGAAGTAAGATCCCAATCATTGATACAAAAAGTTATTTAGTGTCAGCAATTCATTGTTTCAAATTGCTACGCCTAACATCCATCATCATACCAATCTTCAACATAACTCAAATCACACAAATTAGTTCATCCAAATCACACAACCAATACACTGCTTCGATGAAGAAAATAAGGAAAACGAATGTAAAAGATCAAGTAACCTGTTCCATGGCTGCCTGAGCGGCGGTCATGAGCTTTGTGGCGAGACCGAGCTTCCGATGAGTACGAAGAACGGCGAGAGAAGTGATATGGCCATGGCACTCGTTGCTCTCTTCCTCCATCTTAGCGAGCACATAGCCAACGATGCGACCATTGTAGTCCTCAGCGACGTAGAGAAGCTGTGGCCATGAGAGGATATGGTAGAGGTAATACTTCATCTGGTAGTTCTCAGGAAGACACATGAGATTGCAGGCTTGCATCGCAAGCAAATCGTCCACCGTCGCTCGCCTGATGCAAACCATGGCTGCTCAATTTTCTTCTCTCGCGGATAATGAGGGGTTAGGGTTTCGGTCTTGATGGTTTTTTGGGGGCTTTAATCTGGAGACGGATTTTAATTACGGAGAAATATCGGGTCGTTTATTGTAACTTTTTGCTGATAGTTTTGGGGCTTATTATAATAACAGAGAAATATGAGCCTTCGCTTTGTACGATGGTTTATTAATTTGTTTGTTTTAATAACATTTTCCAAACTTATATATATATTTTTTTTTTCTAAACATTTTCCAAACTTATATCATTAATTGAATGGTTAATTTGGTTAATAACCAACAAAAAAAATTATAACATAGTAACTAACCAAAAACTCTAAAATTAGTGGCTATTATTAATGCCACATAGGGTGTTTTCCTTAGTTATTATGTTTTCGTTTTTTTCTTAATTATTCTTGCCAATTTCTCTTAATTGAAGAGAATAGAAAACAGATTTTAGTTAAGATTTTTAAAAAATTACAAATAACACAATTTAACAACGATTTTCAAAATTAGTTGTAGAATAATTCAAGATTTTGCTTAGAACTTGTGAGATCAATAAAAAAATACTCAAATCTAATAAAACTCTTTACCTTCTTATTTAGGATTTGAGTACAACTAGGTCAATACCCGTACTATGCCGCATGGTATT